GCCGTGAAGCGACCCACATGCTCAATGGTAGAGGCTCCGTCTTCTCCCGAAAAAGAATAGAAGTCTGGTGGCCTATAATTTCTCGGGAGAGGATGATCGTTAATGATCCTTTCTGGAAATGGCCTCTGGTAAACCGGCCTGTTCACCGTTTGCGGATTCATTCCGAAATGCACCCGCAGAACTTGAGCAATATCCTCCGGATCTACTCTGGGTGGAATATGGTCGAACACTGGAATGTGATCGTGAGTCTGACCTCCCAATCTTTCTTCTCTGGAGAAGGCTGGTTCGGCTGGGATGGGATTATGAGTCTGTCCCCTCAACCTATCTTCCCTTACGATATTCGGCTGCACATTTTCAACCATTGGTCCCAAAGGAACATTATCAGGGAACATTAGAGAAGTCTTCCCCCTATCTGTTCGGTTGACAGTTGTGGCACTTGGAAATGTACTATCAACATATGATGGTTCTGCAAACGTTGATCCTGAGAAAGTCGCCTGAAAACGAGAAGGTGACACGGCTGGAAGCATGTTTGGATACAGGGTGAATCTGGAGAATGCCTGATCCAACATGTTTTGCATTAGATTTTGTTGCTCACGCAACATGTTCATTTGTTGCTCACGCAACATGTTCTGCATAACCAAAGTTTGCTGGTTGTTCATTTGTTGAATATAAGACAACCAATCGGTAGGTGGTGGGGGAATCTCCCCTGGATTTGGCATGACTGGTGGTGAAACATTCTCTCCCACCGGTGCTGATGATGATTGAGGTTGTGTGCCTGCCATATTGATTTTTCTGATGATTCGGCCAGACCTCAGTTGTATGACATTTTGTGTTGATGTAGGATCAGCAATCTTGCCTTTCTCCCACTGTGGTCGCCAATTTGTTGATGTAATTTTTCAACAAAAATAAAGTAAAATTCAAAGATATAGAAAATATCCTTAAACTTGATTAATTAGTGCCTGAGATTAGGAATCTCTAAACACTGTATGGTACAGAAAATAAACTGGAAAATAAAAGACTGAAATTTAAAGTGGTGATCCCCAAATCTGACTTTACTTTGTTGAAGTTGATTGAAGATGCCTTGCCAAATGATGATCCAAATCCTTAAATATTCTTTGAAGAAAACGGTTTGAACCGCCGTTTGGTCGGTTACAGCAACCGCTGTCAACCGACCATCAAATTCTCCTCAATTGACACGTGTTACAACTTCCTTCAACCTCCCCAAACCTCTCACGCCTTAAACCGTCCCAGAAATGCCATTCGCCCGACCTAAGTGCTACCCGACCAATCTAGAGACTAACTGGTCGCCGGACCGAACGATTTATTGGTCGCCCCATCAAGCAACCAACATCTGATTTCCCCATACGATTCAATGGTCGCCCCAACCAGGCGACCGCCATCGGGTCTCTTGCCCGACCACGTATCGTCCGTCTCATTCTTCTTCGCCCGACATCATTTGGGCCGACCTCCGCATCAGCCGCCCTCCGTCTTTGACCGACTTTAATTGGTCCGACCATGGACCAACCAAATGTGGTCCCGACCACGGACCAACCGACCGGCTCTATTTGCCTTATCTCTTTAGAAGGACGGACTGTCCTCTGGACAGACCTCCGCATCTGTCCGTACCTCTTCCTTGTCCGACCTTTCTCTTGACAAACCTTCGTGTCTGCCCGACTTCGTCTTTCACCCGATCTATGGTTTACCCGACTTGGGTACACCTTTTTTCAGACTCCGCCCGACCTTTCTTCCTTCCCGATCCTTGCATCTGTCCGATTGCACCCGACTTCTGGGTCATTTAACTTATATCCAGACCCGTCCAGAATCCCACTGCCATTATTTATTATTATTATTTTTTGTGCTTAACAAAGGGTAATTTAATCTTTTTACCTTTATTTATACTATGTTCCAATATAATACTAATATTTCTAAAATTCCGTGCAAAAAGTAAATAGATATATAAATATAAGACGGAGAAAGTATATATTATCAACTTACAAAAACTCAAACAATTTCATACAAATATGATTTTATATTTTATATTATTAACATATTCTTTTATATTTAATATAAAAATACATTCATAAAAAAATACAATATTGAATATATATAGAGAGAGAGAAAGTTCACTTTAAATATTGTGAGGTACATGGTTTTCAAAATATATTTAATAGAAATATAATTCATATAGATATAAATATTTCTGTTTTTTTCATAAAAAAAATAAATTAATATTTAATTTTTCACGTAGATTTTTTTTTTATATTATAAATAAAAAAACTCCTATTATTATTATATAATATAAAAAATAAAATTTATGTAATATATGATAAATTGTAAAAATATTTATTATATTTAGCAAATAATACAATAACTTAATGTTACGTATGAAATTTAGAATTAGGTTAAAAAGCCCAAGGTAAAAGAAAAATGGGCCTGGCGATAGAGTTGATTGAACTGGCTGAAAGACACCGCGGGGGACTCAAGGAAAATAGGTTTATTTCTAAGGAAAATACAGGTCGGAAGGACCTCAGGTCGGGAGGTCCTCAGGTCGGAAAGACCTCAGGTCGGAAGGTCCTCAGGTCGGGAGGTCCTCAAGATGGAAAGTCCTCAGGACGGAAAGACCTCAGGTCGGAAGGTCCTCAGGTCGGGAGGTCCTCAAGACGGAAAGTCATCAGGACGGGAAGTCCGCAGGTCGGGAGGTCCTCAGGTCGGAAAGTCCTCAGGACGGAAAGACCTCAGGTCGGAAGGTCCTCAGGTCGGGAGGTCCTCAAGACGGAAAGTCATCAGGACGGGAAGTCCGCAGGTCGGGAGGTCCTCAGGTCGGAAAGTCCTCAGGACGGAAAGACCTCAGGTCGGAAGGTCCTCAGGTCGGGAGGTCCTCAAGACGGAAAGTCATCAGGACGGGAAGTCTGCAGGTCGGGAGGTCCTCAGGTCGGAACTCTGCGGCGGGACCAACAAGTCAGATGGTCTGTTAGTCGGGAGGTCTGTAGCTGAACTAAACAAGTAAGATGGTTTGCAAGTCGGTTGTAGATTGGCAGTCGGGCCAAAAGGGCGGAAGGTCTGTGGTCGGCTCAAAGAGTGAAATAGTGACAACTTTGGTCCGCTGAGGACACGTGTCAGCAGGAGAAGGGTTGGAAGACGGTTAGAAAGGAGACGTTGTAACCGTTCGAGCGACGGTTTTCAGTACAGTTTCCCAGGGAATATTTAAGGGTTTGGATCATCATTTGGCAAGGTATCTTCAATCAACTTCAACAAAGCAAAGTCAGATTTGGGGATCACCACTTTAAATTTCAGTCTTTTATTTTCCAGTTTATTTTCTGTACCATACAGTGTTTAGAGATTCCTAATCTCAGGCACTAATTAATCAAGTTTAAGGATATTTTCTATATCTTTGAATTTTACTTTATTTTTGTTGAAAAATTACATCAACAATTATATAATATAAAAAATAAAATTTATGTAATATATGATAAATTGTAAAAATATTTATTATATTTAGCAAATAATACAATAACTTAATTGAAAAATAATACCCTTATTTTAGTTTCTTATGGTACAGAAATAGTAATAAAAGTGAACATACAAAATATACTTTTAAACAAAAATATATAGGGTGTGTTTGTTTTGTAAGTTGTTGAAAATAATGTTTTTTTTTTTATATGGTATATAGAGAATTACGTAGAAAATATAAATATAATAAATATGCGTAGTGTATTAATTTTTTTTTAAAAAATCGTACCCAAAAAAACAATAAAATAAAAGAAACAAAGCCTAAATTTCATACACTGAACAAATACATTTACTCTAATATCTAATAAAAGTAATCTATTTACTCAAATAAATGTATGACTATATTTTTTATTGATAATTTTAAAATAAAAAATAAACTACAATATTTAAAATAAAATTAGATACTGTAGTAAAATAAAAAGGAAAATAGCTGTGAAATTTTGGTTTTGGATTTTGATTTTCAATAGTAAAATTGTGAATTAAAATAGTTATTTAATGTGATATAAATATATATTGATGTTATATTTTGAATGTAAAATTAAATGTCAATATAATAAAATAAATAAAAAATAAATATTTGATTTGATCTTTTTTTTAAAAAAAATAAAATTTAGGATAAAATCTCACAAGTAAACATAACCAAAGTTTTCAGGAAGGCCACATGTTCCTGCATTCGTCTCAATACAATACAATAGTCTTATTTCCATAAATAACCATATCGCTATAAAACTACCCTTACTTTTTTATTTTTATTACACAATTGTCACTATTTTCTACACTAATATACTCATAAGAGTTAAAAAAAAATTATCTATATTTATTATAAATTAATATTTTTTAAATTTCGTGTCAAACCCAATTATAGTTTTAAGACAGATATTTATTAAGGTTAAGGCAGTCAAATTATATAATATTGGGCTAAGTCAAGACATCAAATTTGTCATAGTCAAATAATTTCGTCGTCCAATCATTTCGCTGCAAGTGTCCATTTCATATTTATTGATTCACTAATAAAAAAATGAATTTAAAAATATTATAGAAGCTAACAAATACTAAAAATCAAAATCCGACTTTCGAATTATTTATTACAGTTTATAAAATATTCTTTTCGACTCAACTTGAATATAAAAATATTTATAATTTTTATAAAAATAGGTATTCTATTTGTATTTGCAAAGGCAAAAATATTAATGAATAAATTGTTTTAGTGTTGCAAACTAGCCTCTATTTTATTTATTATATTTATTTTTTTTATTTTTGTTTATTCTACGTATAATTTTATTTTAAAATATATAATTTAATATTATTTTAAAAATTTTAATTTATAATTTTTTAAATTTAAATTACATTAATTAGTTATTTTAATTTTAATTTATAATTATTTTTATTTTATTATAGTTATTTTTAATAATATATTTTTAATAATTTATTAATTATATATATATATATATAGTTGGTAGACGGAGTATTATAGTCCTTCTCCGGTCGTCACAGTCGTCACCTCAGCTATGGTTCCTTGCAAGAAATCATCTTTTTTCTTCTTCTGAACTTCTTCAAAGTCTCTTCGTTCCGCCTCATGTTCGGCGAAATTTTCCAGAATTCGTAACTGTCTGATTACTGATCAGGATTGTTTGAGCGTTTTTTTGGTTGACGAGAGTTGGTCATACCTGCGGATTGATGCGTTTGATTCCGGTGGACTCCTCCTCTGTTGGATTGATTTTGGAATCAGTTTGGGGAGCATTTTGCTAGCATCGAGTTTTTGAATTTGCGGATTGATTGGTGGTTGTGATCCAGAGGAGTAATTCCGATGGAGTCTGTTGATTCGTCGCCAAATTACGTGAAATCCAGCTGCCGTTCTGACGCGAAGAAAGAAGTTTCGTCGGTAAGCTCCATGTTTCCGTTTCTGGAGACCAATTTCAGTTTCGGCTTCGTGTATTTGTCAGTGATGTAGAGTTTTCATGAGAAGTAACATTTCAGTTTCTGTTGCCTTTGTTGATTATTGTTTTTAGGGTTCGAATGTTATGTTGTTGCTCTTGGTAGGTTTTGGAATTAAAAACTACAGAAATTGATATGTAGATCGACGACGATGAATCTAAGTTAGAGATTTGATATGCTGTTTGATTTCATTAACAGGGAGGAAGTGAATGTGATGACAACATCTCCTTGAGTTCTTCAACTGGGAAATCAGCCATTAAAGGTCTTAGAAACACTGGAATCAAATACAGAAGGAGTAATAAGAAGACAGTGAAGAGTTTTGGGAGTGTTAGGTCATTCAGGAGAAGAACAAAGACAATATTGGTTCAATCTCCTGCTGCAGAAGAATCTGACGATGCTGCAGCCTTTCACTCTGGTTCTTTAGTTGATTCTTCTGCGTCGTCGCCTCACTATTTGAAAGCAACGAGCTCTTCCCAGGGCAAGAAAACGACTTCTTGGCATTCTGAATCTCCCAGTGATGGAAACACGTCGCCATTTTCGCAATCTAAGCTCGGCACTCGTGATAAGAAGGCTTTGATGTCCAGATCATCAAGCATTAGAACTTCGAGGTTTCAACTGAAGATGACTAGTTTCAAGAGGAGAGTCGCTCTAAATTATTCTAAAGTTTCAGAAGATGCCTCTGTTGATAGGGCGACGTATTCTTCCGCTATAAAGGATTCGAAGTTTCCTGAGCGGGTAGAGATTCATCACGGGGGAAAAGAGTCTGAGAATCTTTCAGTTATGAAAGTTTGTCGATACCATCATTGCTCTCTACATGGGCATTGCCATGGAGCTGACGATCCTGCTCCCCAGCCTAAACGTTTCCTGTACAAAAGACGATTGTCAATGAAGAAGCAAAGAGGTATGAAATCTAAAACCAACTCGAATCCAGGAGCCAAGCAATCTGGCAGTAGAAAGAAAGAACACCAGAAAAACCAAGCAAGTGCTGTTGTAGAATCATCAGATCAAGAGAGCATCAGTAATAAGGTTTTAGATGATTTTCCTGCGGGGAGCTATTCTTCTAAACAGGAATCTGATATACATGGAAATGGTTATGATGACAGTCAAGAGGTGGATCTTACTAAAGTTGCATTTGTTGAAACACCATTTCCTAAGAGGAGTCACCAGGAAGATCTGAGCATAATGAGAAAACATTCTTTTAAGGGAGAAGATTTCGGAGAGATGCATTACAGACTGAATGGTCACTGTTTAGGATGTTCTTGCCACAACCGAGGGCAGGTTATGACATATGCTCCCACAAGACCTGATGCAGATATATCCCTGAATAAATCCACTTCGACACTTCCTGACCTTGACTATGGTGATAAACTCCCCCAAAATGGATATGCTAATGGCATTTCTCCTAATTCATCTTTCAATGAGCCAACAGAGCAATTTAGTGACCGCCCCGAGCATGATGTTATTCCAAGTTGTGCAAATGATGCATCAAATGAAGATCCTCCTGCAGCTCCTGCCACAACTGAAGTAACTGAAAATACCAATGTGTCTTACACACCTTCAGATAGCCAAAGTCCGGGTCGTATCAATTCGGATGAGGAAAGGGATGCTAAAACCGAATCCACACTGGATGGTGATTCTAAAGTTGACGAAACCATGCAGGATTCAGTGACTGATTCTCCTGCACATATTGGAAACAAGCTCAAGTTCAGCAAACCAAGGCATATAAGCATGTGGCACCTAATACATCAACACATGTCATCGAATATGGGTATCGAGCATCCAGCAAAGCCTCTTCAAGCAGCGGATGGTGAAAGCCTAGAAGATGACAGTACCCAGGTTGCAGGGGAGATTTCAGCTCCAGATGGGGCCTTATCTGATTCACAGGTAGCAATAGGAAACACGGAACCTGAAAATCAAGAGATTGAAATCCACAGATTGTTTGCTATCAAGATTGTCCGAGAGGCAATTGAGAAGATTCTTCTTCCAGAGGTTCAAGACCAGGCATCTGATGATCACTCAGTTACTAGTGAAAGCCCTCCCCAAGCCGAACTTGGTGACAAGAATCAAAGCGAAGGTACCAAATAACACATGTCTATTCTCTACACATATTCAATGTTGCTTAATTCAAGAAAATGGCAAATATGAATCTGATTTTTCTCTCTATTTTCAGAGTTTAAGGAAGACCATTATGTTGATCTTGTTGGCAATGTACCGAGAGCTAATACTTCATCTCATGTAGTGGAGAAAAGTCATATGGCAAATGATGCTTCTGGTTCGGAGGTAAAGGAAACTCACGACACTTCAGAGATCCAGAAACAAGAAAAGAAGGTTGTTAGCAGATCTGAGAAAAGTGCACCTAGACATTGGAGTTATCTTAAAAAGTGGTTTCTGCTTCAAAAGTTCATCAGGGCATTGGAGAAAGTGAGAAAATTCAAGAAGCCACACCACCTTCCATTGAGTCCTGATCCTGAAGCAGAGAAAGTCAACCTGCGGCCTCAAACTGTGGATGAGAGGAAAACTGCTGAAGAGTGGATGCTTGATTATGCACTTCGCCAGGCAGTCGATCAGCTCGCCCCAACTCAGAAGAAAAAAGTGGCTTTGCTTGTGAAGGCATTTGAAACAGTTGTTCCACAACAAGAAACAGTGCCTTTACCAAGAACCAGGCTTACAAACAACAATGGAAGCATCAATAGCACTAGCTACAAAGGGAATGAGTCTGTTATTGAAGATCCTGATTCCGAAAATAGCATACCATCAGCGCAGAGCTCAATTCTTGATCATAATGGAAAACCAGAGGCACTGAAGAACCTGGAAAAACTTACTTCAAATGAGAGAGAAAGAGAGGCTTTTCCAGAACAGCAAGGTCTTCAAGCAGCTGAAAATGGGAAAGAGAAAGACGGAGATCGACACAACTTCAAAGTGGACAGGAAAAGCCATATTAAAATGTGGCATATGATATATCAACATGTGGTTTCAGGTATTGCCGAAAAGGTAGGAAGCCAACTTCTCGATGGAGCATGTCAAGATAATGACGGCGAAGAGAGTAAATTACCAGTAATGAACAATGGTGATTATTCCAATGATTCTTCAAGCAATATGAGTAGCAGCTTCACCAAATCTGATGCTCTCAAACTCATAAAAGATGCGGTCGATGAAATTCTCCGTCCAGAAAATCAAGATGACTCCGACACACAATCAGTCACTAGCGAGTCTATCCCAGACTTGGACATCTCAGAAAGAAATTTCAATGAACTTGAAGGACAAAACATCTCATCTGAAGATAAAATTGCAATGAATGGAGAGAAAACATCGTTCGATAACACAATCAGTATAAAGGAAGAGGAGACAACAGTATCAAAAGGCAAAGGTAGAATTGAGCCATTGAAATCCAAGAACTGGAGCAAAGTGAAAAAGCTCATGCTCCTCAAGAGATCCATTAAAGCATTGGAAAAAGTTCGGAATCTCAAAATGCAAACACGGCAGTTGCTTCCTCAGATGCTTGATCCTGAACCAGAGAAGATTGAGCTGAGGCAACAAGTGATGGATGAAAGAAAAAAAGCTGAGCAATGGATGCTGGATTATGCAGTTCAGCATATTGTCACAAAACTCACTCCAGCTCGGAAGAGAAGAGTCTCTATGCTCGTTGAAGCCTTTGAAGCAGTTGTTCCAATTCCAGAGATATGACTGAATCGACATTGTAGACATGCAAAATTGCTGCCACATTATCTGATGCTGTTTATAATGGCAAGCCCTTATCCACAATAAAATCCGGTTTCTGTTTTGGGGAATTTCTTCTTTTAAATTTAGCTGCTGATTTATGTTTTATTTTTGCTTTGCAGATTATGTATTCTTATGCCATAACAAGCAAGGATTCTGGAGTACATAATATTCATTTAGCATTGGTGTAAGGTAAGAGCTCATCCCTTTCTTCGGGTTTTTGTTATGTTAGAGATAATATATTATTTTTGGTGTGGGTTGTATTATTTGTACACTATTTTGATGCAATAATGCATGTTGGTTGGTGTAATCCTTACATATGTTTGTAAATGTATTCTAGACATGGTTTCATGTATATGATTTGATGTATTTATTTGATATACTTCTTTAGTGTAAACGACGGATCATCATTAAATTGTCAATTCAGTTCTTGTTTGTTTATTTGTACTAAAAAATTCTGTGTACATCTCATAAAATTTGTATGAGTTACTGTTATTAGAATCAAAAGTATGTGAATCATACCGAAAAATGCAAAATCTAAATCCTCACTATGTAGCATTATATTGTTATGAATGGCTTCAAAACTTATTAGCTTTAATTAAACAGCCCTCTTGATTGTTTAGAAATTTGATGCACGACTAGCATAAACCTTTGATTTTTATTTTTTAATTTCTTTTGTTTGTTTTGAGCTTGAGTTATAAAATACTTCTATTTAGAAGTAATGATACTTCGAATTTAGATGAAATTTAAGCAGATTAATTAGGCTATGCTGGAGGTTTCTCACTAATTTAAATCTCTATTGCAATAGGTTTCTACCTTTTAAATTCTGAGTATGTAACATTGCCACTCACTCTAACTAGAAGTAATCTTATTAGTGATTTTTCCTTATCTTTCTTGCAAAGGCTAGAATTCACTTCGGGTGTGTTTAGTATAAATGAAATTGTAGAGAAATTATAGGAAGAAAAGAATTGCGGAAGAAAAAAATTCAATAGAGAATATATATATATATATATATATTATTTGGTAAAATAGAGACTTAAGCTGTAAAATGTAATATAGTAATGCAGAAATATGAATGATTCTCCTCAGAGGAGATGATAGATTGAATAAGGGAGGACCTTAGTAGAATTGAAATTCTTGGAGAAATAGGCTTCTTTGGTTGGTGATTTTTTTTTCTTAAAAAATTATTTTGGTTTTGGTTTTTCATTTAAATGGTAATTTGATGAGATATTTTTAGAAATAAAATACTCTATTCGTCCCAAATCAGAGGGGTTTTTAGGGTTTTGTAATATATTAAGAAATAACAGCATTTTATTAGTTAGTATAAATGTGTAATAGTTTTTTACATTTGGTAAAAGTAAAGGGTATTTTTAGTATTAATGTATTATTATTTTTTCTAAAATATAAATAAATACTTTGAAGTAGGACAGACAAAAATAATACTTTGGATTAGAATGGGGGAGTAATATATTTCAATAGACAATTGTGAAATATAAATAGTAAAAAAATAAAAATTACCAAATGAACACACCCTACATTATTTCTTAATTTTGATTTGTTTACTTAAATAAATAAGAGAAATAATGATATAGAGATATTTTCATTTTTCTGTTCCTGTTTCTCTTCTCAGTATCAAATGCATCCGTAATCATGGATAAAACTATAATCCAAGATTCCTGGCAATTCACATAAAACAAAAACACTCCATTATAGATAAAACTACATTCTTATTACAGCTGAATTAGTTTGTCTATATGATATTACAATAGGGGCAACAAAATGTACATACATACAAGAACATAGAGACAGAGAAACAAGGCCATGGATCACCAAGCTGATGATCATTGTGGCATAGAACCAAATAGGAATTAGACATAGAAACAAGCTTAGAGGACAAACAAATTACAGTATACTATAGCAGTCGGTAGATGAACAAATAAGAACAAGACTGTAATAAATTTACGGGCACTTGGGGCCTCCACGCTTTGTTTTCCAGTTGTTATAACACGGGCAGAACTGCTTGTTGCCATAGGTGCCCGGCGGCACACATAGGCACGTAGCGCAACATTTCTGGCAGAAAAACATGCACGGCTTCTTGAACGCCGTTTTTGAGCATCTCACTGTACACTTCCCTCCACACTCTGCACACACAGATATAGCCATTAGATAAACTAACTTAAGCACCCCCACCCCCCCACCCCACCCACCTACACATACACATTACACACAAGTGTACATATCTAATATATAGGTAGATAGGAATACCTTGGGGGTGAAGGCTGCCGGGAGTTGCTCCATACTGCATGGAATAGACAAGAAGTATGAAAAATTACAAGATTGTCAAGAAAAAGGTTGTAGGAATTGGGAACTAGATGAGAATTGAGATTGAGATTATTAGTACCATGGGGAAGGTGGGAGGTGCTGGCTGAGGCTGAGGAGCAGGAGCTTCTATAACTAACTTTGCCTGAAAACAGTCGAGTGTGTTCATTTAGGGTGTGTTTGTTTTTGGGTTTTAGCTTTTGGGTTTGGATTTTTGAATAGTAAAAAGTTAATTTGAATAGTTGTTTGATGTGATATAAATAGATGTTGATGTGATGTTTTAAATGTAAAATAAATTTGTAGTATAATATAAAAAAAAAATAATTCTTTGACGTGATATGTTTCTTGAGAAAAAAGAATCTAAATAGTAAAAACCTATGGTAAAAACTACAAAAGAACACAACCTTCGTTTTTAACGTACACTATTCTCTAAAAATATTATTCCCAAAAATATAATGTATACACATTACAATAAAAGTTAATAAAAACACACATTTTATATAATACTTTCATGATTACCTATACTTCACAACAAAAACACCTAAGACTATAAATACAGTAGTTTTGTTCTTCCAACAAATTTTTAATTGCGATTCTCCAAAATAATAATAAACAATACAAATTTTTTTTTACAAAAGTCAAAAAGGAAAAATAAACTCCAAATGCTCGTTACAAAAAGTCAAATATTTAACTTAAAATAATATATCTTATACTTTTAACATAATTTTTCATACTATACAAAAAAAACAATTCATTTTAAAATGCCTAAATAAATACAAACTAATATTATTCATGAACGATGATGACCATCATTCATTATATAAAGAAACTATATACATACATATTGTTCACTTGGTGTTTTAATGAATATTACCTGAAAATACGGTATATACATATATCAATGAAAGTCTAACAAAACCATACAGAACATCATTCTATATAATACTTTCACGAAACTTGACAGCAAAAAACACCTAAAACTATAAATACTAAACAAACATTATTCATCAATGATGATCACAATCATTCCTTATATAAAAAGCTATATGTATATATATATATATAAATGTGCTTACATGGGCCTCAAGTAGGAGGAGGAAGATGAGGAAGAAACAGAGGATGGAATTGAAATGCATCATGTGAATTGCTGGTGATGAATTCTATTCTGCAATGGACTGATATATAGATAGATATGTAAGAAGAAGAAGAAGAAAGTGAAGTGCACATGCTGTTGCATTATTTCAGATGATCTTAGGAATTATCCTTTTCATCCACACGTGGCACCACCACAAACAATCAGCCCCCAATTAACTTAGATATAAGTTGCATTTTAATTTTTTTAAATTAGTTACATTAATCTGGAATATGTATGTACTTCATTTTATTTATTTATTTAGTTTACTCATATTCTCCTCAGCTGCTGCTGAATTACACTAAAACTTGCTATTTAACTTGTTATTAGGATAACAGAGTTTGAGAACTTTTTGTTCAGCTCAAAAAACTAACTGATATAGACTTATACATACATATATATATATATATTATACCCATTTGTATCTATAAATTAAAGCTTTTTCTTTTCTTAATAAAATTATTCCTATATTTCATATGAAACACCACATATTATATCATCTATTTTATCTAAAATACTTCATCCGTTCTATAACAAAGTATTTATTTTTTTATTTTGATCGGTCCTATAACAAAGTATCAATTTCATTTTTAGTAAATGTACTATTTACCTAATATTACAAATACCCTTACAACTTTCAATACATTACACAGATACCATTACCTTTATATCACACAATACTAATAAGGTCATTTTAGTCATTTCTACTTTATTCCTACTATATCTTAATATAATACTAATATTTCTAAAACTCCGTATGCAAAAAACAAATGGATACATAATTATGGGACGAAGGGAGTATAACAAAAACTAAAGAGTGTGTTGGTTGTGTTTGTTTTGGGGTTTGGACTTTGAGTTGAGATTTGAATAGTAACAAATTTGAATTAAAATAGTGGTGTAATGTGATATAAATAAGTATTGATGTGATGTTTGAACGTAAGAATAGTGTAAATCCTTTTCAATCCTTCGAACAAACACTGTGTCTCAAATATTTTGTTTGTTGGTTTTTAGTTAAAATAACTGTTGGATGCAATATTTTATATAAATAAATAAAAAAAATACTTTTAATAGAAACGATGAGATTGTATAGTAAAAAATAAAAAAGGAATATAGCCAAAAAGCCGAACCTATTAATTATGAAGGAAAAAAAGGTTAGTTAAATTAGTTGGCCACTCTTTTAGGAAGGACAAAGAAAATCAAACTGGATAGGAGTACTTGTGTTCTCCTTCACCAAAATTTGTACATTTTGATAATAAATATTTTTTCCTTCTATCAAATTTATTCTTACCTTCTTTTTTTAAGTTCGCCAGCTAAATTTATTTCATTATTAATTTTGATAAAGTCAATAAATTAATATTTAATTATTATTTTTTATTTAACATTTATTTACAATAAATACCATTGACTTTATCATTATTCCTCTTTCATTTACTTTAATTTATAATTAAATTTCTAAAAATACCTCCAACTAGCTCTTACTTTTACAATAAAATCTTCATTTTTCTTAGTTTTCATGCCGGACCCAAATAGGCTAATTTTAATTAACGGAAGAAATATATACTCCCTCCGTCCCAGAATTATAGTCCGGGTTGTGCACGGGATTTAAGGTATATTGATATTATATTGGTAGTGGGTAAAAAGTACGGATAAAATTTTTTTGCCCTTGTGAGTGTATTAATGTAAAAAATAGTGATAATTGTGTAATAATAATGAAAAAGTAAGAATAGTTTTACAGTGATATGATTATTTATGGAAATGGGACTATTACTTTATGATACAGATAAAAATGGTAAATAAGACTATTGTATTGGGATGGATGAAGTATATATATATATATATATATTATCTGTAACTCTTGCTTATCTGTAACTCTTGCAGGGATTGTAGCTGTTATAACTTTACATTAAAGTGCATGTACAAACACACATATATATATAGAGAGATATTCATAGGTTTGGAGTTTGGTTTTTAGTTTTTTTTTTTTTTTTTTATTATGAAATATTTTCGAAATTTTATAAAATTATATTATTTTCTCTTATAGTATATTACATTTAAATTACTATATAAACCAAAATTTAAAACACAAAACCAAACCCCGTGTTAACAAAACATTGTGTTTGGTTTGTATTTGTGTTGAAATAATAGTCGAACGTGATACTTAGAAAATAATTTAGCTTTATAAGAATAGCATAATAAATAAACTAAAAAAAAAAAAAAAAATCTCAAAGAATACATGCCTTCCTATGTGTTTTTTTTTAAGTTTGATTTATTTTATTTTTTATTACAAAAGAAAATACTGTCTCGATCATTGAAAAATAAATTCATTTTTGTCATTTATAATTAAAAAAAAAATAACGAATAGTAAAAAGTGGTAGGATATTTTGCTAAAAAAAAGTGAGAGAGAGTAATATATTTTTAGTTTGATGAATATTATGAATAAATCAATAAAATGATGAAGGAAAGAATAATATATTTTGAAAAAATAAAATAAAATAAAAAATAAAAAAATAGAAAAAAAATAGAAATTAGGTTGGTGTGGTGTGGTAATGCATGTGAATGAAAGCTCTGTTCACGAAAAAGATAACCATATTGGTATTTGTATCTGCAGTGCTACTGCTGCATGTGAACCCTTTCTTCCTCTTCTCTTCTTCTTCTAACATCATTCCAATCTCTCTCCCTCTCTCTCTCTCTCTATATATATATATATTACTCCGTTCGTTCTAATACAATAATTTTATTAATCATTTTTATCTGTTCCAAAATAGTAGTATAATTTTATAAATAATCATATCACCGTAAAACTATCCATACTTTTTTATTATTATTACACAATTGCCACTATTTTTTACACTAATATATTCACAAAGCAAAAAGTCATTTATTCTTATTTTTTACCAACTACTAATATAATATCAATATTCTCTAAATTTCGTGACTAACACAATAAGACTGTACTTTTGAAACGAAGGGAATAGTTTGTAGCAAAAAAAATAAAAAGATAAAGGTAACACATAGTTTCGAAGCACACACTTCACATTTTACTGTGTGTTTTAGGAATATATTTCTATGTACTGAAAATAAAAATAAAAATAAGAGAATAAGATACAAAAGAAATTTAACGCGTGTTTGATAATTAGTTGATAGCTGTTAGCTAATTTGATTAATTGATTCAATTAGCTGTTTGTATTAAAATGTTTGGTAAAATAACTGTTTGATATTAGTTGTTTATATGTAAATGACAATAGAGGACATTTCTATTTTATTTTTTTTTCTTCTAAAATATTTAGTTATGTTATTTTGAGTTTAGAATGTTTGAAATTTTTTGTTACTCCCTCTTTCCAGTTAGAAAGTATACATATTTCTATTTTTGGACGTCCAATTACAAAGTAACTATTTCATTAAATACCCCATTTTTTCCACAAATACTCCTACTTTACATCACATCATTACTTTTATACAAAAAAGTAAAGGCAAAAATGTTATTTTACTACTTTTATCTACCCACTATAATTAAAATACTATTATTCCTTAATTTCCGCGCCAAAAGTAATTGTATACTTTTAGCTTGGACGGAGTGAGTATTAGTTATTGAAAATTGTAAAAGTGTTATAAAAGTATTTGTTTTTATTATAGTTAGATTTAAAAAATAATATATTTTTATTGAAATATACAAATAGTTTTTTTCTAAAATATAAAATAATAAATTTTTCATGTATATATTTATTATGTTAGTTATCGATTAGTTTATTATATCTATAATTTTTAATAAATTTAATTTATTTTTAGTATAAAATTTATATAATATAATTTTAATATAAAAATAAATTATTAATATTTATATTTTCTAATTTATGTTAATTTTAATAAATTTATATATTTTACAATTAAAATAATTTATATATAAAAATTAATTATTTTAAATTTATAAAAAGTAAAACTATAATATAATAAAATAGTCTAATATAATTAATAAATAATCAAAATATATTATTTGTGTAAAATATATAATAAATTTTTAAGGGCATATAAAGAATAAAAAAATTTTACAAAAAAAGCTAGCTTTTCAAAACAATGGGTAAGTTAGCTTCCAAAAAGCTAATTTATCAAACACCTAAATTAATTTTTTGACCGATCAAACAGCTAAAAATTATTCAATAAGCTAAAAGCTCTTCAAAAAATTATTTGCCGAATACCCTCTTTAATTTGCAGACATATAATCATATATATATATATATATATGAATATTGCATAGTTTTTTTTTGTCTTTATTAGTCTCGTGATGACAAACATGCAGTCATGTGAATATGCATATTAGTTTTGTCTATATACCAAATCTTGTTTGTGTTTTGAAAATGGTAAGGCTGTGTTTGATTTGTGTTTCAAATCAAAATTGTATATTTTCAATAAAAATATGCTATTTTTTTATTATTATTATTATTATTATTATTTTCATAAAATATCACTTTAAAATATTATTTAACAAAAATTCAAATTTTAAATAAAAAAAACAGCCAAATATTTTGTTTAGGGTTTAAAGTTAATTTTTAATGAAGACATGGTCATTATTTTCATAAAATATTATTTTAAAAAAAATATATATTTATTTATATAATAAATCATGATGATTGTATAGTTAAATAAAATAAAATCAAAGGTAACAAAATCTTATTGAAATGAAAAGAAAAGAGAAAAAAAAAAATTATATGAAAACTTACTTGATTTTATTGCAAATTAAACCACTACTATTCAGTTAGTGGTTTTAATAAAAAAAATAGTTTTTTTTTTTCAAAATATTATACTACCTCCATCCGTGGACTCTAAAAATTTTATCTATTTTTTACAAGTTCATCTTTAAATATTAATTATTATATCAAAATATAGTATAAATTAAAAAAAAATTACAAAAATATTTTTATTAATATTATAATATTAATATAATGATATTTTTAATGTTAATTACAATTATGAAAAAAAATAAATGTGAAGTATTAAAATAAAATTCAAACCAAAACACAAATAGTAAAAGACTCAAATTCAAACTAAAAACAAACAGACCCTTAGGTTCTTTCTTTTG